ATGTCTCTACGAAATGGGCCCCATCAGGGTGTTAGCTACAGTAAAAAATTCCGCGTTAAACGCGGTTTTCCCAGTTACCTTGAGGTCGCAATTTCCCAATTTGGGTCAGCCAAAAAATAGTTATAGAAATTCAATGTTGTTAATACGCCATTAAAAACATTATTATAACTACTTTTGCTCAAAATTACTCCCAAAATGCGGGAAATGTCATTTCAAAGACACAAAAATTTTAAAATCGAGAGGGGGCAACCGCATGCTCCCAGACCCACAAAAAAATGCCCGGCTTCAGGCTAAAATAAATTTCCCACTTTCAGGTAAACCCGGATTTTTTTTTACTTCTGGCTAACAGCACCCTGAATGGGATATGATTTCTAAACTGATTAAATGATGCTCCATTATGCTTTGCGCGCTTAGAGTTTAGGGTTTAAAGTTTAAGGTTTGCAAAGAACGACATTTTTTGAATTAGCTGTACACAAAGAGTGCCTAACTGTCATAACATATTGATTCAGGGAGACCTCGTATTAAATCTGACGACCAAAAAATTGGCATTAAATAAATTATTCTGTCTAGACAAATCATCTTATGAAAAGCTCTCATGTAATGGTTCGAGCACGTCAGAAAGCACTACCGATAGTGCCTCTTGCCCGCTTGTTGCCCGCACACCCGACACTTCCCGAGATACAGGCTATGATGACGTCACACATTGCCCTAAGAAGACTGGTAACGAGAGTGATTCCTCATTGGCATCAGGTGAACGTACCTCAGATGTTTAGGCATGTGTTATGTATATTTATGGATAAGTAGGGATAGTTTTGATCTTAGTATCCACGCTTTGATAACAAAATCCCATTATATCCCTCATATTGTGGATAAGTAGGGATAGTTTTGTTCTTATTGTCCATGTTTAGATAACAAAATCCCGTTTTATCCACCTTGAAGGTCAACTGTACGAAAACCTGGTTCGGGTATTTAGAATAAGTCGTCATTTTCTGTGTAGGTGATATTTTCTGTGTTGGTGTAATGTACTGTTCTTCCATTGTTTCCATCTAACCATAAAGAGACACAGATTAAAAATTATTCTTCAGTGAAACCTTGTTGGTTGTAACGAGCATTTGAAGGTTTTAATCAGCCTATTCAGTCATTGTGAGATTGCCTCATCAGATTAAAACCTGTCAAATGTTCTTGACAAGCACGAGACTTTCACGTGATATTAGACAACGTTTTAAATCGGCTACTGTTCATTCTTAGATGTAAGCAACGCTATAAAGGTACGAATATTATGGGTGACGCATGTCCTAAACGTTGTATAAATACATACATCATCGTTTTTTTCAAAATGAAAAATTCGTTTTTTTCAAAATGAAAAATTCAATTTTTGGTCTTATTCACAAAATAACCTAACCAGGATTCGTTCAACCAACCTTTTTTTTTAAATTTCCAAACTAGAAAGTCTTGTTTCTCAGTGATGTTTGCTAAACATAAGAAAACCAAGAAACATTGTTTCGTAGCTTTACTCCTAAAGGTGGGCGATGAATTAGCGTATTTCCCGAAAGTGAGCGAAGCAGGGATTATTGTTGCGAAAACATTGTTTCTTGGTCTTTCTTCCCCAACGAGGAATTTGAGCTTGGTTTCCGTATAGTCGTAATGGGCGTAAAAATAGAGTCATGATCTTTCTCAATGGCCAGTTTATAATAGTTTATTCCTGTGAACCATATATACATCATAAGTATTCTCTAGTTAGAATCACTCCGCGTATTTTCAGTTCTAAAATGTTGTATTTCGGCTGATGAGAAAGAGCATGACTCAATCTTTACGACCGTTAGGAGGATATGGAAGCCTGGGCTTTATCAGATGTTTTGGCAACAAAGTGTCGCCTGTGTCTTCAATTTCCATGTCTTCGCGTCCTCACGTCGCTTGCTGACGTCATATGACGTAATGTTTGGGACAAATTTTGATTGGAGAGATTATTTAGAGCATTCTCAGTTATGTCTTGACGAACGAGCCGTATTAAAATTCCTCAATTTGCTCAAAATATCGACTTTATGTCGGAATAATCGAGCAATACCCTCAAAAAAGGCCCTGGCAACGAGGTTGAATACCCTCAACTGTTTGCAAATATTCTTATTTCTTTGATTTTAAGTGTAGTTTTGTTTTTATCTACGGTTTTCTTCTGCGGTAAAAAGTTGTAAACAGTCTGGGGTCGTTATTCTGACATTACGGTTGATATTCGATCAAATTAGAAATTTTTCTAATACGTCTCGACTCTGAAGGAACAACTCGAATGTTATAATTTTTAACTTAAAAATTGTATTTTGTATTTCAATACTCGTAACTGAACAACAAGTTGTCACAACAGCTTTGTTGTTGCAAGTCTGTTGAGACGTCATCAATCTTGTAACAAGTTTTCAACAAGCAGGGAACAAGCTGTGAGAATTCGCAACTTGATATCAACTTTCCCCGTATCATCTTCGCTCGAAAAAAGAGAATTTGCGAAAGTGATCGAAGCAAATTCGCAACTAAGGGCATTTTTTCGCGAGAAAAAAGTGCTGCAACCTGATTGGCTAGTTAAAGTGGATTTTCATTGGACGCACACTCACCAATTTTCATAAATGCTGAATCTGTGCTTTCATTGGTGTTTCCAAGAAAATCCACACACGTTTGGCCAATCAATTTTTATACATACTTGTATATTTTTAAAGTTTTCCTCATCATATTTTCCTTGAGCAATTTTATAAGCTAATGTGTAAGATTTCACATGTTTCCTGGATCCGTTTTTGTGGCTAGTCCTGAATTATATACACATTAGTAAGTAAAATTTTCAATGACAGTTGTTAAGGGATCTTTCATTGTATTGTAGTTTCTCTACATTTATAGACAATATAGAAATTGTAGTTTATGTGTTTCAATATAGATATAATTGTAGCTTAGGTTTAATTATATATAATTAATTAGGTGTGTTCTTTTTTGTAAAATTATGCTACAGAATTTGGCAGTTTAGAATGGCAAGGCATTGAGTGTATGCTGTGGTTACGTCATTTTCATTGCCGTTTTATTTGCCAAATTTAATGCATGTACTTGATGTAGTATTATAGTATAGCAATGTAGTAACACTTGGTGGGTTTCTGACTCGCAGTACAAAGCAACAGCTGGTGGTCAACTCAGAAATGTTCCGTAAATGAACTTGATGGAGACATGATAGACCTCATTGTCTATGTTTTTGTCTTGGTTTATGCAAAAAATGGTCTTTTCATCGTCACGTGTGTATTGTATTTTTGCCAGAGCAACCATAGCTATGTTTTCATTTAACCATTGTGTAATATCACGACTGGGTAATTAAATCAACACACTGCTATTGGTTGTTTGGGCGAAAAAAACAATACGCACGTGACGATGAACCGATCATTTCTTGCATATACCAAGAGAAAAACATCTAACTGAGGTGTATTATGTCTGCATCGAGTTCCCTAACCACCTTATTCTATGACTTTCACCATGCTACAGTTCAATTCACTTGCAAGGCATTTGCACAAATCTCATTAGAATCTCATTACTCCCTCTACTTTTGTGTTAAACGTCTCGTGGAATTGTTTGAAAAGCGACTTTTCAAAGTTGTAAGTGTAAATTTACTGTCAACTGCAGTGATAAAATGTCGCAGTGCGTGGGAGAGGCACTCAGTATATCCCAAACAAATGGTGGATAGACAGAGCTCCAGGTTGACTGCCATCTGCTGCACGATAGTGTTTAGTGAAACTCACCTATCCTGGTAATATACCACATAGCTATGATATAGTAACATACTGTGGCTAGTATTGCCATATAGTGTATAATATAGCCCTTACGTACTTTCGTATTGTTCAGGCCTACTCTGGGATCTTAAATCGCTTAAACTGCATTCTAGGCCACCCCAGAGTCGGCCTTTGTTCAGTCTACGGGAATTAATGTATGTATACAGCGCATGTATCGTTAGTCACTATAGTCATGATACTTTGTATTTTGGTATATCCTGGTTGAGTTTCACTCAGCGTTCCTGGGCAGCAGATGGTGTTCAACCTCAAAAATGTTGAGACTTGTTGGAGCAAGCAAACTTTATCTCTCGATTTATTTATTTCCTCCAAAAAAGGTAGCAATGAAAATGAACAAAATTGCATCACTTTCTGATATCTGTACGTTGACTATCCTATGTTGCACGCTAGTGAAACCATCTTATAATACTCTTTATGATCGATTGTATAGATAAATTAGTGTAATTGATACTAACTAGTGCTAATTGTAATCAATTATCGATCACTTGCTAGTATTATTTGATAAATACTACGGTTTGTAATCAATTATATCAGATCAGTATTATTGGGACTGAATATTGCTTATTGTGATCAATTTTATCGATTATTTAGAAGTATTCTAACAACATACTACGGTTTATAATCAATAATTTTGATCAATCAGCAATATTAGTACCAAATACTGCTGATTGTAATCAATTATATCCATCATTTAGCATGATTATTTGAATCATTACTGTACGAAGTTAATTATGTGTTTTTCTTAGTCAATAAATTGTATATGTGGCGATAGTTTTTCGTGATACTCTGTGTACAACCAAGCTTGCAGCTGGTGTCTTAAATTCCTTTGAATACTCTGAGTGGAAGATCGTTTCTGGATCCTTTCGTGTACATTTTGTCGTCATTTATAGACCACCATATTCTACAAATCACCCGGTAACCGTGAATGCATTTATTGCTGAATTTTCGCAGTACTTGGAGACTATTATAATGTCGACGGATCCACTTATTATCACGGGTGATTTTAATATTCATGTGAATTCAAAAACAGACGGTGATAGTCTGAAGTTTGTCGATCTGCTATTGTCCATGGGTTTACAGCAACATGTCGAATTTTCTACACATGTTTCTGGAAACACTCTTGACCTGGTAATTACTCGAGAGGTGGACCCTATTTTGGGATCACCCCCTCGTCCGGACCACCTTTTCTCTGATCACATGGCTATCTCATTTGGGCTTAATTCTTCCAAACCACTTCCTTCAAAGAAATGTGTAACTTACAGATCATTGAAATCTATAAATATTACTAGTTTTATGAAAGACCTGGGTGAATCAAAACTATGCCTGGATGCTCCTACACAACTTGATTCCTTGGTAAGCTGCTATAATAATACATTATCTTCTGTTCTGGATCGCCACGCTCCGCTGAAGAGGAGAATTGTTACCTCTAGGGCTATGGTGCCATGGTATGACGAGGAAATCAAACTTGCAAAGAAGGAAAGAAGGAAAGCGGAGCGGAAATGGCGGACTACAAAAACGACGGCAGATTTTAATAAATTTAAATCATTGAAAAACCATTGTACTCAATTAATGAGGAAAGCAAAATGCTCCTTTTTCTCTGATTTTGTCAAAGAAAACAGCAATAACCAAGGGACTCTATTCAAAGCTATCAAAGGAATGCTGGTTGAAAAAAATGCAATAAGTTTCCCCGGACGTAATGAAACAGCTCTCGTTAACGAACTTGGCAAATATTTTGTTCAGAAAATCTCTAATATCCACTCTGAGATAAACAACGAGATTTCTTCAAATAATGATGGTCACGTAGATCCTCCAAGTGATGACAATGAGGAGTATCCGGGTGATGTGTCGCATTTTGATGCGTTCGAGCCCTTGTCTGAGGATGATGTTAGAAAGCTTGTTGTGGACTCGCACAAAAAATCATGTTACCTTGATCCAGTGCCAACAGATTTCTTGGTGAAATGTCTGGATGTGTTACTTCCTGTGATTACAAAAATAATCAATATCTCACTTGAAACTGGGCACTTTCCTAGAGACTGGAAGGAAGCTATCATTCTTCCCATATTAAAAAAGTCTGGGCTGGAGTCCGCTTTTGAAAATCTTCGTCCCATCAGTAATTTAGCATATATTTCAAAGCTTATTGAACGAGCAGTATATAATCAAACGCACGATCATATCCTTCGATGTGGCTTTTATCCAGTTTTGCAATCTGCTTACCGGCGGTATCACTCCACAGAGACTGCGTTACTCAAAGTACTCAATGACATTTTGTTGAGCATGAACAGTCAACGTGTCACTCTCTTGGTTCTTCTGGACCTAAGTTTCGCTTTTGACACAATTGATCATGGAATTTTGCTGGAACGGTTAAGGTCAAAATTTGGAATACGTGGAACAGTTCTCAGTTGGTTTTCTTCCTATTTGTCTGGTCGAAGTCAACGTGTTATGCTAAATGGTACCCTTTCTGATTCATCTGATTTGAACTTTGGTGTCCCGAAGGGTTCGTGTTTGGGGCCTCTTCTTTTTATATTATATGCCTCCAAACTGTTCGATATTATTAACAATCACTCGCCGGATTTACATGGTTTTGCTGATGACACTCAGTTGTATGTGTCCTTCAAACCTGACTACCCATGCGATCAATGTGAAGCGATCTCGGTAATGGAAAGCTGTCTCAACGATCTTCGGAAGTGGATGATTCAAGATAAATTGAAACTAAATGACGGTAAAACTGAACTGTTAATAATTGGATCTAAGCAGCAACTGCAGAAACTTAACCCATGCCATGTACGTGTCGGGAATGCTGATGTCCTTCCTGTACCAATAGCTCGTGATCTAGGAGTTTGGCTTGATTCAAATTTATCAATGTCATGTCATATAACAAAGACATGTGGAGCCGCATTCTATTGGCTTCACAACATCAAACGCATCAGCAAGTTTTTATCTCGGGAAAATCTGTTGACTGTTATACACGCCTTTGTTACAAGTCGACTAGTTTATTGTAATGGTCTCCTGTATGGTTTACCAAATACTGGACTGATTAAGTTGCAGAGGGTTCAAAACGCCGCTGCAAGATTAGTGACTTCAACACGAAAATACTATCACATTACACCTATATTACGTGAACTACACTGGTTACCTGTGAAGTTCAGGATCCATTTTAAACTGCTATTGCTTACTTTTAAGCTTTACATGGAATGGCTCCAAAGTACATAGTAGATCTACTCGTTGTTAAAGTGGAAGGAAACTACCTTTTACGCTTTAATGATAGCATAATGCTAGAGTTCCCTAATGGTAAATTTTTACGGTCATTTGGCGACAGATCTTTCACTGTGGCAGCTCCGAAACTTTGGAATGAACTTCCGAAAGAAATTCGTGACATTTCGTCAATAAGCGTATTTAAAACTTGTCTTAAGACTCATCTTTTTAAACTAGCTTTTAGTATTTAGTTTATATTAAAGTTAACATTTCAACATTTTAATACGCTTTTAACATTAGTTATATTGTAATACAGCGCTTTTGATCATTACATGTAAAAAGCGCTTTATAAATTATTAAATTATTATTATTAGAGGATTTATTAAATAATTTGCATCTCTATCTTTGGACTAGAGTTTTTCACCTCTGCCGAATTAAATGTCTGGTGTCGACATCTTGTTGCAAAATCTATGATTTAGCTGCATTTGGAGACTTCATTGAAAAGGTATATCATTATTAAATTCATATTAATCTGACACTGCAGAGAACAAGGAAAAACTAATTCTCTCGAGCGGGATTTAGCTCGCATCTTCGAGTTTCTAGATCCCTCTTTACCAATTTAGCTATCGTGTCAATGGGCATTGCTAGTAAGCATTATCTAATTTAAATAAATGCATGAAATATTTTCGGATGAAAACGAATGCCGCTCATTCATAGGGGGAAATAAGAGGACAGTTGGTCAAGGTTAATACCAAGAAAGATTCTCCTGAGGAACAGACAGTGTACAAGAAACTGGAAGTTTTGATTGTCCACCTGGACAACTTGGAAAATGATCAACAAAAGCAAGTGGAAGCACTCTAGTCAAAGATGGACGAAACTGAATTTAAGGCAAGTCAGGTGACAACCGCAACTGTAAGTAAACCAATTGCAAATGATCTTAAGCAAGTATTATGTAGAGGATTCAAGATTAATGGGCAGATAGGAGAACCTGGCGAACAGGATAAACTTACTTTTGTAAGCTTGGTCAGACAAATTGAAAGTGCATTATTGAAGGGTTGCCTTCAAACTGAGATGACCGATGCGGTAATAAGAGCTACTCTCTTAGTATGCAGTTCCGAAGTTATCTTGAAACTATCAGTAACTTGACATTGCCAAGATTACGTGCTATTTTGAGATTACACTTTCAGGAGAAAAGTCCAACTGAGCTTTATCAGTTTTAGCCCATTTTTACAGCAATCAGGGATAACAGATGACTATAAGACTGTAAATGCGTCTGATACCATAATGCACGCCTTGTGAGGACCTTGGCATATAATTCATAGGCGTTGCGGGGACCTGAAGTCCTTACAGTGTTTGGCGTATAGTATTGAGTATTTATTAGAGACCTTTGGATTTACGTTTACGGTAAACGTCAAACCGCTAGCAAGGTTTTTGATTTTACAATTCTATTATAATAGCTTTCAGCCCAGTTTTGAAATATATTAAACTTATTAAACTTGTGCTTTTTTGCAATGATTTAAGAAAGCAAATTAACCACTAGTCATGCCATTCACCAAAGCAGTATATTAAGATTTGGCGTTTGAAGTTGACGTTTGGCGTATAAATTTCATGTTTTAACGACTACAAGCCCTCGTAGCAATTCAAGCATGAAATTTATACGCCAAACGTCAACTTCAAACGCCAAATCCAAAATTTACTGCTTTGGTGAATGGCATAACTAGTGGTTAAATTTCTTTCTTAAATCATTGCTAAAAAGCACAAGTTCAATAAGTTTAACATCTTCCAAAACTGGTGAAAGCTATTATAATAGAGTTCTAAAATCAAAAACCTCGCTAGCGGTGTGACGTTTCCCGTAAACGTCAATCTAAAGGTCTCTATTAAATAATTTGCATCTCTATCTTTAAACTAGAGTTTTTCACCTCTGCCGAATTAAATGTCTGGTGTCGACATCTTGTTGCAAAGTCTATGATTTAGCTGCATTTGGAGACTTCATTGAAAAGGTATATCAATATTAAATTCATATTAATCTGACACTGCAGAGAACAAGGAAAAACTAATTCTGTCGAGCGGGATTTGAACTCGCATCTTCGAGTTTCTAGATCCCTCTTTACCAATTTAGCTATCGTGTCAATGAGCATTGCTAGTAAGCATTATCCGATTTAAATAAATGCACGAAATATTTTCGCGAATTTAATATTTATATCGCTCAAGATGGTTCTGAAATAAATTGTATATAATTTTAATAGATAAACTACCTGAAATATGCAGAGGGATTCCAGACGAAGGGCCCTTTGCTCGAAACGTCTAAGTTCTCTTTGTATATTTTACACTTTTGAAGTCCTCGTAGGTACGGTTGCGTTAAATGTTTACACCAGTCCTCTTAATTTCGACTGGTGCATACATTACACGCGGGTCCTCCTAATGTCTAGCACGCCCGTATGTGTGTATGTGTGTGTTTGTCTTTGAGCACGATAACTCAAGAAATACCAAACATATTCATACGACATTTTTTGAATGCATTTCCCATCGGCCAAGGAAGAATTGATTAAAATTTGGTTGAATTTGGTTAAAAATTGAACGAGAAATGAACAAACGTTTGTCTTGCTTTTCCTGGTCAATTAAAAAAACTTACTGAATGCGTAATTAGGACGTGTTTAATGTATGCACGCAGTTTACAGGGTATACTAGAAAATACATGCATGCAGAAACCCTCGCCTTGCTGACAAAACCATTTTATTTTCCGAACGTGAAGTATTTTAAGTAGTTGTCATGGTAACACGATAATTTTTAAGAATATTTTTACAAATAAAAAATCCCCTATAAATATCACTTTTAATTACAAAATTATCAATTTCCTAAGCATATATATGTTAGGTATGTTATTATACGTAATATAAGCTTGAATTTAAGATAAAATTCAACCACAAACGCTTCGCAAAACGTTTTAAAATGTTCTTTTACTATAGAGCTAAACTGCCGTTATCGATAAACTTTGAGTTCGAAATAAAATGATTCCAAATTCTCCCATACAAATAACTTTCCTTAGTATAATAAAAAGTGTAATCAATAAAGAAACACTGAAATAATACGCTGTCTTGTTTCATATTTATACACAACGATCGGCTTTTAAAGTAATTACAGTAGGTATGTTATTATACGTAATATAAGCTTCAATTTAAGGTAAAATTGAACCACAAACACTTCGCAAAACGTTTGAAAGTGTTCTTTTTAAATAGAACTAAACTGCCTTTATCGATAAACTTTGAGTTCGAAATAAAATGATTCCAAATTCTCCCATGTAAATAACTTTGCTTAGTATAATAAAAAGTGTAATCAATAAAGAAACACTGAAATAATACGCTGTCTTGTTTCATATTTTATATACGCAACGATCGGCTTTTAAAGTAACTACAGCCGAGATTACAGTATATTAAAAGCAAACAATGCATCAATATTTGAAACAAACTTACCTTTGTTAACGTCGGCACGTTTACTTCCTTTTTTTAGCAATCCTCTTGCCTTTATTTTATCAAAAATCCTTTGCAATTTACAAAATCTTGCAAAAATGAAATATGTTTGCAAGAAATCATCAAATCAATTTCGCTGTCGTCAATCGTCATTCAGCCGTTATAATGCCAATTTTAAATTGGACCAATCAGTGTTGGCTATTCATTACAGTCCGCTATATTATGAGATCAGTGAGGATGACCACCCACCGAAACACGCACAGTGACCCACGCCCGCGATATTTGATGAACTTTAGACTTCGCTAATGCTTCCCTTCCCCGGGTGTAAATAGCCGGGGGGAATTAGTACCATCGCACGGCGCTTCGCGCCGTCGGCTCGGGGATAAAGGTATACAAATAATGTAATTAATGGTATCTTTTTAGATTATATAGAAACGCAAACGATCAGAAAAACATTGTCTTCTCTATTGTTGTGAACACAATCACAATAGTCTAAAGTTTCTCAAGAATGTGAAACGACTAATTATAACGACTAATTATAAGCGTTAAGTTAGACTAAATTTAACACACTGGCTTAGTATCTCAAAGCCCACAGGAGTAATACTCCTATCGGGCTAATATATTTGTAAAGCACGCGATTTTAGAGCAGCCTCCCTGATATAAGTGAGATTTACAACTGCTGATATACGTATACAGGGTGTCTCAAAAAAACCCAAAATCATTGAAATTGACGTATTGTTGGATATTCAATGCCCTAGCACTAAGTTAATCCCACGAATGCATAAAAGATTGACATAACTGCTATAATGAATGGTAATACTCAGCGTAAACTTGTTATGTCAGGCATAAAGTACTAAACCCACGAATGCATATTAC